TTCTGCCTGCCAGAAGGTGATATGAACAAGGAAGCCCTGTGGGTGTGTGAGCGGTGAAGAGAGGTGTTTCGGCCTATCTCGCATGGCTCCGATTGTATCCGCTTCCGGTGCAGAGGCGAAGGCTCGTAAAAATGCCTTCCTGAACTGGCATCCGAGACGCATCTCGTGCACAAGATCAATCGTCCTGACCTTTCAGAGCCGGTTCACACTGGACGAGAGGGCGATCGGTCTGTGGGGTAGGGCCGGCCTACTAGTCACCGACCGTTTTTATACTTCTGCCACTGCCGCTGGCACAACAAATGGGCAAACTGTTCCGTCTGTCAGATTTCACCTCACCCAGTAACCAAGACGTGACCTAAACACTGCCACACTCACGTAGTCTTAAGCCATTCAGGCAAGCAGGAAAAATGGGCAGTAGCAAAAAATAGTCGGATGGATGTAATGGTGAATCAGGGAAAAATGGGACAAAATTGTAACATAAATTCACAGATGACGCTGTCATCTATCGACTCAGTTGAAGCCGCCGGTATGCAAAACACGAAAATACAGTTCAAATATATTTAATGTATTCACCCTATTTCGTTTAAGTTGATGAGGCACTTGTAGTTGGATTTCCCTAAAATGGTATGAGTAGGCATCATATTTGAATAGAATTTTACATACTCTTGATTTCTATAGCAAATACAACTTTATTTCGTAGACAATGCCCCCTAACAGAATTGCGATATTTGAACAGGCTTGGGCTTCCTTGAAATGTAGTATTGCCCTGCGGCCCAAGGGCACTCATGGCAGTGTGGTCTAATGGTTAACTTGTCTAGATTATACGTGGCACTTCCGCAACACTGGTTCGAGTCCCACTAGAGGTGTTGTCCTATGCGAGGTCGAAACTACCGTCTGGTCCAGTCTGGAGGAAAATTACTATGAGCAAAGCAATGACACGGGAACTTCCTATGATTGTGGGAAAATTCAACTACCATTCTTTCATAGGGATAAACGAAATAGAGCGAATACACCTCATGTATACGATTTACTGGTAGCTTCGAAACCTTCTGACTTTAGTCGAAAATTCGTGGCAAGCAGATGCATATTCTTGCTAGTATAGCCACTGTCATAGATACATTGGGCTAACTAATGCCTATTTTAAGTTGACTAATGATGAAAAGATAAATTGGTGAAATCACTTTTTACATTCTGTAACTGGCACAAATACAGAAACTAGTGGCCCCACTCAAATATAGCCAAAGGCAAAGCCATTTCAATTTTGATCCACTTTAAAATAATCCAAACCTTAATGCAAGCCTTGTTAGCCCTATATCGCTTAAAGTGATGAAGGAGGGAAAGTGAATTTTTCCAAAATGAAATGAGGTTTTAGGATTCAAAGGAATTTCATGTAATCTGATGAGAAGCTGATTGTTGACTTTTCACACAATGATATGAGTAGGCCTTAAGTTTTTATTGAATTTCGCATAGTCTTGCTTCCCAAAAGGTATTCTCATCCAGGCAAAAGCTGACTGTAGTTTCGACCTCT